CCCCCCAACTGCAAAAAGTACGCACCATGTCTGTTGTACGTGTTACACACTCGCACTCGTCGTCCTTGCCCCCCCCCGTCCGCAGTTGCTGGTCGTTCTAGTCCCCGTACCTGTTCTTGCTCACCCACCGTAGCTGCTCTCCCCCCAGAAGTTGTCCTCAGTCGTCCACCTGTAGTCGCACTAGTCGTAGTACTCGTACCTGTCGTAGTTGTTGTTGTTGTAGTTGTAGTTGTAGTTGTAGTTGTAGTTGTAGTTGTAGTTGTAGTTGTAGTTGTAGTTGTCGTTGTAGTTGTTGTAGTTGTAGTTGTAGTTGTTGTAGTTGTTGTTGTTGTTGTTGTTGTAGTTGTAGTTGTTGTAGTTGTAGTTGTAGTTGTTGTAGTAGTAGTAGTAGTAGTAGTAGTAGTAGTTGTAGTTGTTGTAGTTGTTGTTGTTGTTGTTGTTGTTGTTGTTGTTGTTGTTGTTGTTGTTGTTGTAGTTGTAGTTGTTGTTGTAGTTGTAGTTGTAGTTGTAGTTGTCGTTGTAGTTGTAGTTGTTGTAGTTGTAGTTGTTGAAGTCGTCGTCGTTGTGGTAAACACAGTCGACACCACAGTTGTTGTTGACATGGTAGTGGTTGTTGTCGTGCTTGTGACAGTTGTCGTCGTTGTAGTGGTTGTCGTGGTGGTTGCACTGCTTGTCGAGTCCCCCACCACCTCGACGCTGACAACAGTGCAGCGATTGAAGCGAAAGTCGCCACCAGCAGCACATGTCTGCAACGGACTGGCCTGTGCCGCATTGAGGATCGTAGTTGTAAACGTGTTGTAATCTTGAACAGTGATGGATGAGCTATCATCACCAAAGTACCGGCACACCTGTACGACACACACGTGCAGGGTCGTGTTGCGTGCGCATACGCATACGTATGTGCGTGTGTATGTGTGTGCGTGTGTATGCGTGTGCGCGCGTGTACGCGGATGAGAGAGAGGGAGACATACATGTGCGCCTGTGTGTACGCGGGCATTTTCGTTCATCGTGGCATGTGTGTGTGTGTGTGTGTGTGTGTGTGTGTGTGTGTGGCCAGTACCAAAGAACGTCCTCACGTGTTGTGAACATGTGCGCATGTGTGCGTGCACGAACATGCCAACAGGGCCAACAAAGCCATGAGCTGCACATGTGCATCAGCAAATCACTCCACAGGCCAGTCTGTACCCGCCCAATGTTGCAGTCCTCTGCAAGTGCCGCCTTCCACTTGGCACCAAACTCGTCCAGTTCGGTGCTGCTGCGGTCTGTCAAGTTCTGTCGGTTGCACTCCACATCCACCTGCCGCGGTGCGCATGTGCGTGCGTGCGTGTGTGTGATCCAGTGAGGCATGGCGGTCCTGGTTGCACGTACAAGATCATCATCATGATGGACATCATCATCATCATCATCATCATGGACATTGTAACCGACAGCACGTCAGTCGCAAACACACACACACATACATACATACATACATACATATCCACACACACACACAAACACACCTGAATTGTGGTGTCGAACGGCTGCTGCGTGCAGTTTGTCACCGCCAGGCATTCCTCGTGCACCACGCCACCGCCCACCGTGCACGGATACACCGCCATGCACCCTGTGTTTGTATGTGAGTGCATGTGACAGAAAGAAAGTGAGAGAGTGAGTGAAGAGGAGGCACAGATGAACAGATGAACAGATGCACAGGCAGCCAGCCAGCCAGCCAGCCAGCCAGACAGACAGACAGACAAGACACGCTGTGCGTGCTGGTGTGTGCACTGTTGGATGCGGCGCTTCCCGCCATGTCTCCCACACGCGTGCTTCAGATAACACACCTCCGCCAGAGCATTCCTGCAGGTCGCGACACAGGCAGGTGCCACCTGCGGACGATGAAGGAGCCAAGTTGGAGTTGGCATGAGTGCTGAGCATTCGAAATCGAAGCATCAGCCATCAAGGGAGGAGTGAACACACACACACACACACATACATACATACGCACACATACACATACACATACGCACACACACACACACATACCCACACACCAAGCGTGCAGCGGGGCATGGAGATGCCAGTGGTCTGGCCAGATTCAAAGTAGAAGCCACTGCTGGCTGGAGTCAGGGAAGCGCACGAGTCCAGGTTCTATGATGTGGTCATGTACCATGACGCATCGTGAGTGCGCGCGTTGGTGTGTGTGTGTGCGTGTATGTGCGTGTATGTGTGTTGTATGCACGTGAATGTGCAAACAGGAGTGCATGGGCACATGTGGTTGTGGGCGCACATGGTGCGACCGTTCGGCGAGTAAGCGGACACATGACCGCAACAAGGTGAGCGCAACCACAGCGGCATGCTTGCTCAACGAACCACCAGGTCAAAGAACTCCTGCGGATCCAGAACCATGCCCAGCAGAAGCTGCCCTTCCAACTCCTCCTTCCAGAGTCAAACATCAACACAGAGGATGGCGGAGCCGGGTGGAGTTGGGATCGTGAGCGCCGGTGCGCAGCGATGAAGCCAGAGCTGAACCAAACGCACACGCACACAGAAGGAACACGCGCACACACGCTATCTCTCACCTGTGCTTGGGCGATGTGGCCGTGGCCGGTGATGACCAGCAAAAGCAGTGCCAGCGCTGGCGCCACAACCCTCGTCTGTGTCATCCTTGGTCTTCGTGTCTTCTGTCACAGCAGCAGCCTGCCTGTCTCCTTCGTTGCCTGCTCAGATACTGTGGTCGTGCGTGAAAGGACGAGAGGATGCGCAAATGGAGAGCTCGCACACGCACCAGTTATTGCTGCTCGCTTGCTTCTTGTGGTCTCTTGCTTCTTGCATTGTTGAGGCGTCGCCATGCTTCTTGCTTGCTCGCTTGCTTACTGTTTGACCTTGCATCTCCTCTGCCCCATCATCTTCACTGATTGCTTTTCTCCACTCGTCACCCACGATGACAATTGCGCAGCAACAGCCGCGTTCAAGGCCAATCACAGTTGTTGTGATGTTGTTCGCACGCACTCACGCATGATGCGGGGAGAGCGAGCTTGCTTCTTCATGGGATGGGTCGACGCACTTGTCACTGCAGGTGTTCTTGCTCGTGTGTGTGTGATTAACACCTACTTGCTGGCTTGCTTCTTCGCTTGCTGCGGTGCTGGTGCATGTGTTGCTTTTGTCGGGCTGAGGAGCGCTTTGTAGCTTTGTTCGCTGACACGCACACAGCACGTGTGCCATGGGGATGACATGCGCGCAGTAGAGCAGCAGGCAGTAAACAGGTGCACCCAGCAGAAGAGAGGGAAGAGGCAGTGGAGACAAAGGGCAGCACTGTGGGAGGAACTGGCTGGCTTCCTGGCAGTGCGTTGTCACGCTTGTGCAAGAGAACAGCGGCGAGCAATGCTGAAGTGACAAAGCGTGATGCGGTTTCTGTATGATTATTCCTTCGCAGAGCCCATTCACGCACGTGTCGGCGCAGCTGGAGATGCCTGTGCAAACATACATGTGTGCATTTGTACATGCGCGCACGTGTGTGTATGTGTGTGTGTGTGTGTATAGCGTGTGAGGGTGTCATCAGGCTGCAATTGTCCCTGGGTGAAGGATCTTTGCACCACCAGGGCTGGGTGCTTGTGTTCTGTTGCGTCATGCACGGAGCATCTGTTGTTGTACAAGCAAACATGTCGCATGCACACGCACGCACACACGCACACAGAGGGACACTGTGCACGCAGAAACAACAACGACAGCACACACAAAGACATTCATTCACACACAGAGACATCGTACAAGCAGAAACAACGACAACAGCAGCATCCACAAAGACGCTCATTCACGCACACACCACACACACACACACATACACACAAAGCAACAAAAAGAGACGGCTCACCCTTTCGAACAAAGTCCAGGTATGCAAACTGGGATGTGCTGTTTGGAAACGCCTGCAGAATCTGTGCGTACAATGCAGCCAGTTCGGAAAGGGCAGTGGAACCACCAACTGATGTGAACACGTGATCATCACATCAAGCAACAAGCAAGGCAAGCAAGCTATCACAAATTTGCAAGCAAACGGATGAAATGCAAAATCAGACAGGAACGGACTCCAGTGTCAAGCTCGGCACTCCTGCGGGATTCATTTGCACGTTTGCTCCCCATCTCAGGCAAACACACTCACACGCACACACGCAGACACACACACACACACACACACACAAAGGGAGTTTCATGCACGTATACACGCTCAAGTGCACTTCGCTGCGCACCATTGTGGTGTTGGTGATGAGGTTTGGGCACATGTCAGGGAAGCCTGCGTGCTCAAGCGCCAAGGCTTGAAGCAGCAGCGGCAGGTACCCGCCCACAACAACGGTGGCGTATGCGCTGTTGGCCCAATCAAATGCGTACCACGCCCTCAGCTCTTTGCGATCAGCAACGGGATCTGTGCTGTCCCCGCCTCTGTTGCTCTCATCCACATCGTCAGTGTCCACAGCGGCTGCTTCCACCACCTCGCCATCACCATCACCACCAGCATCATCACCGCCAGCGATCATCCAGGCACTCCTCTTGCCGTTTGCTGGCATGATGTTTGTTGTTGTGTTTGCGGTTTGTTTGAGTGAAGACTGAAGTCAGTCGATGATTCGATTGGTGGAAGATTTCAAGCAATCTTCTTCCGCCAATCTTTTGAATCGACAGACGTTGCAAAGACTGCACACAACAACAAGCTCACGAAAGACACGATGGCGACCAGCACGACCACCATTGCTAGCAGTGCGCGTGGATCGCCCGCGCCAGTGAGTAGCTTGGGGCTTGCTTGCATTCTCACTCTTGTCGACCAGTCTCTCTTGTCGACCAGTCTCTCTTGTCGATCAGTCTCTCTTGTCGATCAGTCTCTCTTGTCGATCAGTCTCTCTTGTCGACTTGGTCAACACAAGCTGCGCTTGCTTTTGTGCATGCAACCCTGTTCATTTCTTTCCCCGCACCTCTTCCATCCACGAACGCCTGCCTGTATCCGCGCGCGCACACACACACACACACACACACACACACACACACACACACACAGCTCATCCCAGCTCACGGCATCACGTGTTTCGTGGCCTGCATTCATAACTAGTCGCTGCAGCAGGGCGAACAGGAACAGGGCCAGGACATGCCAAGAACGCTCAGCAGAGCCGAGGTGGGTTCTTGTTCGGCCATCATACGTGTATGTATGTATGTATGTATGTATGTATGTATGTATGTATGTATGTATGTATGTATGTATGTATGTATGTATGTATGTATGTATGTATGTATGTATGCATGTGTGTATGTATGTATGCACGTACGTGCGTGTGTATGCGCATTTGCGCGTGTACTCTTGTCAACACGAGCGATGTAATACAACCATCTCTCGGCTCACACTTGCTTGTTCTTGTGCCGCCTCCACGTAGACGGACGTCTTGCGGCGCTGCTTAGCCTTCTTGGGCTTCCGCCTCCTGATCATTGAGGCAACAAGCAACGCGTTGACCAGCGACGAGGAGAGAGCTTTGGCCAGCAAAGAGAGCGCTGTCTCGCTGGGAGATGTCATTCGCGATGCATCGGGTTGGTGCCTTGTGCCTTGTGCTTCCCTTACATGTCATTGACAAGCACATCTTGCCGTGTGCACGTGTTGCCATGTCTTGTGCCGTGCTACATGTCAACGTATGGCAGGTGCGCAGTGTTCGTGCATTGTTGTGCACTGCTTGTCTATTCCAGCGCCTGCTCACACTGTCCCGCACATGAACGTACCACAAACCAGAATCGGACGAGGCCTTTGCTGCCCGCTACCCTGAGGGCGTCAATTTCAAGCGGGTGGACCTCCAGCAGCAGTTTAAGCGCATTCCGTATCGCGTACATAAGGTCATTGGTATGATCCCGGATGATCTGCAACGGATGCTCAAGGCAGCCATCAGCAGCTTTGATGAAGTGACTGTTGAGGCCGCGTTGGAGGAGGGTAGTGTCACGTGTGCAGCTCCAACGATTGACAGCAACCTCAAGCAGCAGCGCGCAGGTACGATGGCCGCAGCAACACGACACATACATGCACATTCTTGCACAAGTTGGAGCACAGACACGCGAGTGCTTGCTGACGTGTGTACCTGCGTTGCACACACACATTGGCACACATTTAGCCACACCCTTACCCTTACATACACACCCTTACCCTTGCATACATACACGCACATACACACCCTTACCCTTGCATACATTCGTACACATACATACACCCTTACATTCACGTACACACGCACACGTGCAGACCTGTGGCGGCCGCTTGCGCCAAGCGAAGTGGGAAAGATTGCCAGAAGCTTGGCGACACCGCGCAGCCAGGCTTCGACCTCATCGTCTCGGTCTTGGAGCCGCAAGTCAGCAACTATGGCTGAGAAGAGGACGATTGTCATGAACGACCGGATGTTTGGCGAAGTGGATGCACGCGTGTTCCGTGCCACGAAGAGGATCAAGGACGAGTTGACCGCCAGCGTCGCCTCCTGCACCAAAAGTGCGTTTGCTACTCTGTGCTTGTACTGCACCACACAAGGTGGTTGTGTTTGTGTTGGCTCACGTGCGTGTGTATCAATGTGCACTACGAAGGTGTGTGTGTGTGGGGGGGGGAGAAGGGCTTTCCTGTGCCACTGTCTTGAATTCCGAAGCTTATCGTGTTCTGCACTGTCGTCTTATCAGCATGGCCCAAACTGTATACGGACTGTGAAGGCATCATGCAGAGCGACTTTCAAGTGAATCTTCAAGTGTACATTCAAACACGCAAGTGGCCCTTGGCGACCCCACGCTTCATCGTTCAGGCACCATTCGCACACAACCCCGAGTTTCGAGTTGACTTGGCCTTCATATTCCAGGATACATGGACCTTTGTCTTCCCTCTCCTGTGCGAGGTATGCCCCATTCTTCATCCTTATCGAGCCAACACAACAACTTCAACAACACGGCGCACACATGCACACCTGCTCTCATTACACACGCACACGCATGCTCCGCGCACTCACACGACGTGTCATGCTTCCTTCGCATCACTCACACACACACACATTCTGTCACGATTCATGTTGTTTTCGATGCAGTTCAAGAGAAGTGGCCTCCCGCTCGACAAAGTGGAGGCCATGGCGCAGCTGGACGAATACGCGTCACATGCCACGAAGGCGCTCCCACGCCGCGCTGTTGGGCTGCCCTTCCCCTTTGGCATCACTGTCACTGGCAACACCGTCAGTGTCTTCGCATATGTCTTGACCCGCGACCACCAGGACCTGGAAAAGGTAACAGCGTTGTGTGCTGTGTTCCTTCATCGCATGTGCGTGTGTGTGCATGTGCTTGCGTGCATCTGAATGCATGAGTGTGTGTGTGTGTGTGTGTCAATGCTTGATTTGAATGTGTTTCCTGTGTGTCAGCTTTCTTCACTTCTCACCCTGTTGTGCGCTGTTTGTGTACGACACACGATGTGCGCGCGTGTGTGTGCGTGTGTAAATGCCTTCAGATTTATCGCATCCCGCTTCTCAAAGACGCAAAGGTGTGAACACATGCATGCGTTTGCTTTTGCCTTTGTCTTTGCTTGCGTGTTTGCATGCGTGTGTCCATGACGTACTTCTGAGCACCTACATTACTCTTTCATCCCCTGCTTGCCACGTGCTCCTGCGTTCTCTCTCTGTCTCTGTCTCTTTCTCTCTCGCCCGCGCGCGCGTGTGTGTGTGTGCCTATGGCTTGGTCTTGCTGTTGGTTGTGTCTCCGCTTGACTCATGCATGTGTGCGCCACATGCTGTTGCGCTGCCACGGGTTGCACTGCCAGATTGAGACTATGCCGGCCATCCTCGACGTCCTGCTGAGCAAGGACCGCATTGCCTATTTCCAGGCCCTGTCCCGCCACATGGAAGGCAAGAGCTCCGACAACGCCAGCGACACCAGCGACGCCGGCGACGCCACGCATCAGCTGGCACTGCTGCACCTGGACGATGGCGATGGCGATGGCGCTGGTGATGGTGATGGCGATGGCGATGGCGACACCAGCGACGCCGGCGACGCCACGCATCAGCTGGCACTGCTGTACCTGGACGATGGCGATGGCGCTGGTGATGGCGATGGCGCGGACGCGTATGCGTGCCCACCGCTGTACGGCGTTGCGAAGAAGGACTGGCCGTGCGAGGAGAGCGCTCTAGCCGAGCACCGTCTGTTCGTCACCAGATTCTACGCGCCGCAGCCCAACGTGCGCATCTTCAACAGCCGCGTGCTCAAGGAAGTGCCAGAACGCGACGCAGACAACATCCTGCGCGCCTGGAAGATTGCCCACCCGAGCATCAACGTCGTGCGCGTCGGCCCCATGCCCCAGGGCCAGTGCGTGCTCGATGCCCCTTACCTTGGCAAGACGTGGGTGGACCAGCGGCCAACGCGGATTGAGCAGATTGACGAGCCTGTGGAACAGCTGCTGCGCCTGCTGCGCAAAGGGCTGTGCCACGGTGACGTCCGGAACGAAAACATCGTCATTGGTCCGGATGGGCGCACCAGCATCATCGACTTCGACATGACCCAGGACCTGGGCACGGATCTGCCCTCCGGCCTCATCACGGACTACCTGGAGCGGCCAGCGCGCGTGTTTGGCCGCATGCGCAGGCTCAAGCGAGAGGCAGGCGATGATTTCGAGTCCCTGATGTTCTCATGGGCACGAGCATGCTCCACCAGCCCAGATATCTTCGGCTGCGAGTTTGCTCAGCAGGTTTTCTGTGCGCGGGAGCGTGTTGTTGAGCTGCTGACGAAGGAGCGGGGCCGGCTGTTGGCGGAGGGGGCCGACGACGCGATTGTGCACCGTGTCGACGCCGCCATCCACAGGTGCGAGAGGGCCACCCTGTTTGCCTGATGGTTGCACTGAGCGATGATGTTTGATGGTGATTGATGGCGGTAGTGGTGATGGTGGTGACTTATGATGTGATTTATTGATGGTGATCGTGGTGGTGGGTGATGGTGTTTGTTTGTGGTGAATGATGCTTTTTCATTGTGGTGGTGGTGGTGGTGGTGATTTGACGGTGATTGCGTTTGGTTTGTGGTGAATGATGTTTGTTCCTGGTGGTGATGGTTGTGATTTGATGGTGATTGATGACATGATGTGATTCATTCATTCATGGTGGTGGTGATTTGATGGTGATGTGATTCATTCATGGTTGTGGTGGGTGGTGGTGATTGACTTTAGTTTGTGGTGGCATTTTTTTGTGGTGAATGATGTGATGCTTTTTCATTGTGGTGGTGGTGATTTGATGGTGATGTGATTCATTCATGGTTGTTGCTCGAGACGGAGATCCAAGAACCGATTGCTATTCGTATTCAATGCTGTCTATGCTACAATAAACGTCAACCAGCAGCCCGCATGCTCAGACACATGAACATGAGCTTGTCACCAACAATCAGGTACAACGGGAAAGACAGCGAGCGACAAACAGCGAGCAACCCATCAAACCACACGTCCATCCACCGCAACACTATGACCAGCCGCCTTGAACGCGTGGCTTTCGATTGTGACGGCCTCTGCGCTTCCCTGAGCGGCTGCGTCCCCCGCCATCGCTGGTGTTGCTGCCTGCTTCTATTTTTCAAGCAACGCAGAGCAAACAGACAGGATACGTGAGCGTGTTTGAGTGAGCCGAATTTGTGTGTGTGTGTGTGTGTGTGTGTGTGTGTGTGTGTGTGTGTGTGTGTGTGTGTGTGTGTGTGTGTGTGTGTGTGTGTCTGTGTGTGTGTGCTTAAGCAGAACGCCAACAAGCCATGTGAGGCATGGCGATGGCTGTTGCTGCTCACTCTTCAGATCAGTACCACCTGATAGCAGAACCCCCGTTCCCACCGAAGCATTGTCTCACACCGCAACAGGCGAGCAAGCGCAGCCATAGCAGACACAAGGGCGAGCGCGCACACAAACCTTGTCCGTCCCTGTCCATCCACTTTGGCCCCTTGAACGGCTTCCCAGCGCTATACATCTTGGCTGCGCCGCCACGGATGGGAATGCGACCGTTATCCAGACTGGCAACAATTGGGCGCGGGTACGACTTTTCCAAGGCAACACCGGCAGCCTCTAGCTCACCATGGGGCGCCTGGTATGGGGTGTGGGCAAACGGCGCGGGGAGGTGTTTCAGCTCTGGCACCCACAGGTGCACGTACTCGGCTGCAGGATCGTACGTCTTGGCTGTGGCGGAGTGAACATGCCCGGGTGCGCGCGGGTGCGCGCGGGTGTGTGTGTGTGTGTGTGTGTGTGTGTGTGTGTGTGTGTGTGTGTGTGTGTGTGTGTGTGTGTGTGTGTGTGTGTGTGTGTGTGTGTGTGTGTGTCATTTTGAACTGAAGTAAGCGCCAACCGTTACAGTCAATGCGTGCATGACAACAGGCCCACCTTGACGAATGACGTTGAAGTGTCGGCCCTGGCGGGGGTCGTTGCCAATTCCAGCGGCATAGTTCCAATTGCCTGGAGAGGCGCGGGCATTATTTCGACGCAATTGAGCGAACGCAGCGTGGGGGAGGGAGTGCCGCACAGTGTCACGAAATGCAGTGGAGGAGGAGGAGAGGAGTGTCATTGTGCAAGAATGACAACCAGAGCCTGCAAATATCACACACACACACGCACACACACACACACGCACACGCACACACACACGCACACGCGCAAGCAGCCGAACCGTAATTTGCGCAGGGGTCGTGGTCAATGAGGAGGGACTCAAACCACTCAGCGCCAAGCCGCCAGTCAATCAGCAAATCCTGGTGGTCGTGAATAATCACAGCAGTCAGGAGAGAAGACATGGACGAACGTGCCAACAAACCACAAGTGCACGCACGCGTGGAAGCAATTAAACACGCACAAAAACAACCAAACAACTAAGCCAACACTTAAAAAAAGAGGAAGCAAACAAACACGTGCATCCATACGCGTGAAAGTATCAATGCATATGGCTGGAGCTCACCTTTGTCAGGAACGAAGCGACGTTTTGCCTGCCTCTGTTGCTCATGAAACCGGTGGCGGCAAGCTCCCGCATATTGGCGTCAACAAAGGGAAACCCGGTCCGCCCTTCCTGCCACGCAGACAAGTCAAGAGGACTGTGGCGCCAGGCAATGCCCTTGCGCTGCACGCCACCTGATCCGCGCACGCGCATGAGAGAATACATGCATGCCAATGCATTCGTGCGTGTGTTTGTGTGTATGCACACACGAATGAGGAGATGATTGTGTGAGTGTGAGCGCTTCGCACTGACAGCACCAAGAGGCCCAAACAACGCGTTCGCTTGGTCTCACGAGAAGCGGCGCAATCCCTCCAGCAAACAACACGTCAGCAGTATGCCATCCGTCCTTCCGCCGCCCGAGTTCAGGCTACCTTCTTTGAAGATGGCTGTGCCGTGTTGCAGGGCAACGAAGCGGAAGTAATCACGCCACAGTAGTTCAAACACGAGCCAGTACGTGCTGTTGTTCTTCACCCGCTCCCGCTCATAGCGCTTGACTTCGCTGTGGATCCACCTTGCACTGACACAGCCGTGTGCCAGCCAGGGAGAAAACTTGGACGAGTAATCTGCGCCCACGAGTCCGTTGCGTGTGTCCTTGTATCTGCAGCGACGATGGTGGGGATGGTATTTGTTTGGGTGAGGATGAGGGTCATAGCGTTACTGATCAAGGACAAAAGACAACAAACAATCAGGCACACGACACGGATGTGCTTTACGCACGAGCAGAGCACACACACACACACACACACATACGCATGTGCACATAGCATACACGCACCCACTCACACATATGCACGTACGTTGCGATACAGTCTGTATCCCAGAGGTAGTGCTTGACACGTGTGCGGGCAACAGTTTCTCCGCCGACAAATGTGAGAACCCCGCGCTCATCTGCCTGCAGGTATGGTATGTGACGCAGGGCCAGGGGATGCGTGAGTGTGCATGTGTGTGTTGGGGACGTGTCGAAAGCAAATGTAGCGCACAGGCATGAGCATATCAATGCAGGAAAAAGGCGGTCACACCTTCGCTGGGGCGTTTGGGCTGAGCTGCGTAACAGGTGGCACGTGACCCGGGTCACCGGCGATGGGTTGCGGCAGCGGCTGCAGCGATGGCGGCGGCGGGCGCGGTGGACGGATGGGCACACATGCCTCTGCTGCCTTGCGGAACTGCAACGATGGCAATGATGGCGATGATGGCGATGGTGGCGATGATGTTGGCGATGGTGGTGGCGGTTGCAGTGGTGAGAATGGCAACGATGACTTTGGTGATGGTTGCGAAATGCGATGTGGGATTGTTCACGAGGAGGCTGATGGTCGTTCTGAATGCCGGCCAACACAAACAGTCTTCATGGCGCAACGGCCACAAGGGAAAGAGAGTGCGTGTTTGCTTTCGTGTGTGTGTGTATATGTGTGTGTGCCGCTTTTTAGAAATCACCTTGTACGTGCACACACACACATCGTCCATGGGCAACACAAGTGCTGTACCTGCGAGAAGACTCCTGGCAAGTCGCTGCAGGAGCGCTCATATGGGAGATCATCGCGATGGCACAGCGTAATTGCACCCCACCTGGCGTAGACAACACGGCGGGAGAAAGGGGGAAGAGAGGCATTGTTGAGGCTGAAGATGTGGTCAAAGTCACGACAGAGAGAGAGAGGAGAGAGAGAGAGAGAGAGAGAGAGAGAGAGAGAGAGAGAGAGAGAGAGAGAGAGAGAGAGAGAGAGAGAGAGAGAGAGAGAGAGAGAGAGAGAGAGAGAAGAGAGAGAAGAGAGAAAGAGAAAGAGAGAGAAAGAGGGAGTGTGTGAGTGTGTGTGTGTGTGTTGAAATGAAGAGGGAGGGAGATGACGCTGCTTCGGCTTGCCCGGCATGCCATCTTATTCCTTCTCCTCCCCGTCACCTCACCACGTGCGCCAACAAACCAACACCTACTTTGCAAATTGAATAATCTGTTGCGCCTGCTCCTCCGAATGCGTGAACCACAGGCCAACCTCGGCATCGTCGCAGTCGCCGGGTACAGTCACCCGCATCTCTGGCGTGTGTATATGTGTCGTGTATATGTGTAGTGTATGTGTGTGTATGTATGTGTGTAAATGTGAGAGAATGAGACAAAAATGAAAGGAAAAAGCGTTTGGGAGCCAGATATACGTGCTCTGGTCGCTTGCGTTGTTTCGAGTACTTCGGGACTCCGGGATCTTTGCATGGTCAATACGGAGGTATGCGACTCACGTTGTACTCTGACAATACGAGAGATGACGAGATGATTCAGCGAGAGAGAGAGAGACGCTCAATGTGTATGTGTGTGTGTGACGCCCTCCCTCCCTCCCTCTTTCTCATATCCTCAAACACAGACACAACCCATTCCTTCTTCCACCGGCCACCAACCTCAAGGTGAGAGGGACAGAAAGGCGTTTTGCCAGGCGATGTTCGACGCCGGTCTCCTCCGAGCATACCTGAAGAATGGCAACGCCATGTCAGCACGCACGTGCAGAAAAAAACCCTCACACGTGAATGCAGGTACATACCGGCACAATCAGAAACACACACACACATACACATACGCAGACACGAGAGAGCACGTACATACATCACCACCATACATCAACTCACATATATACTCTCTCTCTCTCACACAGGCACAACTCCTTCACACGCGTGTTTATGCACAGCCAACTGACCTCTTTCTGTCCAAACACCTCGGTTGCGCCCGTGATGGACACAATGTCTGGGATGACCTCCTCTGGCTCGCCGACGCGGACAACGAGGTTGCTGCCAAGGCGCTGCAGGTTACGGCGCAGGTCCTCCACACACTCGACAATGAAGCGCGTGCGCTGCCACCCGCATTTGGGGAACTGCCCACACCTGGCGTGCAATCCACGCCGTGTGCGTGCGTGTCAATGTGAGTGCATGCTTACACTGGCTTGCACGGCGGAGCAGATATGTGACGCCGTTGCTCATCACAAGCAGCCGAGCCAAAAAAAAAAAGAAAGGTTCTCACAACAGCCGAGGGCACACTGGAAAGAAAGCACCTTGTTTTCGCAGCTGGTCCGACTTGCCGCGGGTCAAAGCAATACACGGGCACAACGTGGCCTTTGCTTGCCTAGAGCCATGGACATGCACGAGAAAAGAAAACGAAATCAACGAAGAGGACGCGCGTCTGTATTGTGCCATAGGCGCAGAGCGTTGATGGCAGCCTCAACTCGTACAAATGCAGACACGAATGGATTCAAGCCTCCCCCTCACACACACACACACACACACACACACGCACACACACACATACGTACACAAACACACACACACTCACGCACGCGCGCGCGCACAACACACACACACACATACAAAGAATGTACCTTGGCTGCCTCCAGCAATGGCTCATGGTCATGGATGCGAAGGTCTGATCCACGGAACCAAACTACTGCCGGGCGGACTGCCTTGGATGAAGAGGACGACATTGTGGGCAGGTGCACGCTGCACACTCTCGTGTCTCCCACTCCAACTCTCTTGCTCCGATTCTGCTTGCACTTGGCGGGGGTTCTGTATCTTTTCTCTCACGTCTCGTGGGTGTAAATGTACTTGTAAAGGCTTATGCAGCCCACCGCAGCCCACCATCACACGAGGGGCTGCAACACATTGCGGCTGTGTCTCCTCTCTCGCTTCTGGCATTGCAACAACAGACAGCGTTTGGTGGGTTGTCTTCGTGAAGTGCGCCAGAAATGTCGTAAAAGATACCAATAGATTTTCAGTAACCGCAGTGCTCCAGCCACACCCAAACAAAACATACAGCAGGAAGCAGTGCAGACAAGACAGGACACCAGGAGCATGGACGTGACCTGTGAAGAGCAGCGGGCAGACAACCTTCACGCAACGTTGACGCTCAGTGGAGTGTAAGTACAAGTACAATGTGGCCCGTTTGGTGTGGTCGTACCCAAATTGTAAGGCGTGCACGTATGTGCGTGTGTGTGTGTGCGTGTGTGTGTGTGTGTTTGGAGTGTGGTGCACTGCCGCACATAGGCACATGCACCGACCCTGGTGCGTGGTTGGTTTTGTGGGGATTGTCTGTGCCTAGATTGTGCACACACTCGTAAACTCAAACTTTCCACAAACGCACACTGTTTGTTGTGCACCCATGTTGACACGATAGCCCACACATCTGCCATGTTTATTTACATGGCGCACGGCGTCCTACGTGGACGATGTCGTGAGTTACAATTCGCTTCACACGATTGCTCTGTCGCTGTGTGTAATGGCAATGTCGCTGTGTGTGTTGACAATGTCGCTGTGCAGGACTGTTCTTTCATTGTATCTCACTCCAATCCCTCACCGTCATGTACACCGAATTGACCATGGTGAGTTGTGTTGAAGAGTAACAGATGGCCTCCGCAATACATGGGCACACCATTTTGACGTTGCATCTCTGAACCAACACGTATGTCCGCCTTGCTGACGTGTCCCCCTGTCGAGCTCCATTGCTGTTTCATGCGGAATCGCAAGCACTTGCGATGTTTTCAGCACAAAAGCACAAACAAACACACACACACACACCATGCACACTCATCGAATTGCGTACACTTTGCCCACTGTGCCGTTGATCGTAGCGCACCGCGTGTCGGATCGATAGCTGGCGTGTATATTTTGAAACAATTCGGTGCGTTCAAAGACATGCATGCGAGAGAGAGTGTGTGTGTGTCTGTGCGTGTCTGTGTGTGTGCATGTGTGTGTCTGTGTGTGTGTGTGTGTGTCCGTGCGTGAGTGAGTGTGTGTGTGTGTGTGTGAGTCTGTGTGCGTGTTCGTGTGTATGGTTGTGTGTCTGTGATCTGACAGGAGTTTATATGTTTCGGGTTGTTGCTTCTCCCTTTCTTTTGCTTATGTTTTGTCTTCCTTTCGTCCACAGTTGGCCACGCCACCTCAACCTTCCACCACCAAACGTTCACTGCCTCATTGCCGAACATACCGCTGCAGGAAGGCGTTCGTGGCGGAGAGAGATGTGCACATCGCGCTCGGTGGTTCTGGTCAATGCATCGTCAAAATTCAACGACCTGGGTAGGCCCCCGATACTAGACATGGCCAAATGCTCCACGTGCACATGCGCAAACAAGCGCGCGCGCACGCACATGACGCACACATGGCACACGACACCACACACACACACACACACACACACACACACACACACACACACACACACACACACAAACGCGCATACACACACGACACGTTCACGCAGACTTATTCCCTCTTTCCCTCTCCTGGCTTCTTGAGGTTAGCGCGAGTGATGATCTTGTGTATCAGCTTGAAACGCTTCATGGGGACGATGCAGTACGACAGGTCCAAGCCGTCCTGCTGCGAATGGCGGAGGGAACGTCCAGTCCTCGTGAGTTGTGGTCACAGCACTGGAAGTGCTTCGTGTTATGGGATGGTGTGTGTATGTGTTACCCTGTGTGTGTATGCGTTACCCTGTGTTTGACGTGAGTGAGCATTGTGTGTTTGCTTTCGATGCTTGCACATGACATTAATGTATGCGTGCGTGCGTGCGTGCGTGCGTGCGTGCGTGCGTGCGTGCGTGCTTCGTGTTTGCTTGTGTGTGTAGGCTTGTGTGTGTAGGCTTTCATGTGTCATTCTGCTCGCGAAAACATGAAGACGGCTGTGCGCTCATCTCTCATCGTTGCCCACCCAACACGTGACTAATAATTTACTTCACCAGTGTACAACAAGACAATGGATAGCTTACACGACTGTCGGGTTTGTTGAAGCACTTGCGCATGCGTTGCAATTGGCGTTTGTATGAAATGCACGCGCACAATGAACAGCGCACGACGCCCTTCCCATCATGAACGCGCGAATACACCTACATGTACACAATCGCATCTCCGATCGCACGCTTGCGCTCACACACACACACACACACACACACACACACACACACACACACACGACGCGCACACACACACACACACACACACACACACACACACACACACACACACACACACGCACGCACGCACACACACACACACGCACGCACACACACACACACACACGCACGCACGCATATTGACACGACAGCGGCAACTGCTGGCTGCCCAGCAGCAGGCAGCGTCGTCAACGCTGGACACTTCCTTTGATGAGGACTACACAGCGACACTGGGCACCTACGCAGCAGATACACACGAAGGTGCTGTTGTGTCGTCGGAAGCCAAATGGTGGCACGAGGAGAAGGGACGAGGAGCACTCACGCGCACACATACGCATGGTCCACACGCACACGTTCACACACACTCACACACATACTCACTTACTCACACACTCACACACTCACACACTTACTCACTCACTCACACTCACTCACACGTGTCGCAATGTGTTGGTTCACATGCGGCTGCTGCTGCTGCTTTGTGTCTCGTCAAAGACGACGACAACGATGAGGGGGATCACGCGTCCAAACGCGCGCATACTTCAGCACCGGCACGCAAAGGCGGATACAGGAACTTGCTCAACCCCAGCGACCGCAGGTTCGTTTCTGCGACTGTGTGCGCATGCACGTGAATGCCATTGCTAACACCCATGATGTCGAGGATGACACTCACACACACACACACACACACACACACACACACACACACACACACACACACACACACACACACACAACTGCACTGTACAGGAGGGGCAAGGCGACGGGAGTTCAATTTGACAACACATCATCAGACTCTGACTCTGATTGAGGGTGCCGCTGTGACGTTTTTACAATAGTCATCCCATGAATGATGTCATGTGGTGTTGATTGCGCTGAAGCTCCAACTCACACGAACACATGTACACTCCAGTGTGTCCCTCCCGCTCTCTGTGCCATCTTGTGCCAGAGCCGCTTTCCGTCTCGACTTTTGCGCATGCTTGCTTGCTCTCGTTCTTGTGTATGCAACAAGGGCCTAACGAACCATAGCGAGACTGAGAAAAATAGCAAAGAAAGCAAAACTGGAAAGCATAAAAATGTGTGAAAAAAGAGGCCAACACTTGCGGCGCGTGACGTCAAGTGTTCATTCACACGATCAAACAAGAACAACGGCAGTGCTCATGTGTGTCAGCAACACCCTAACTGCAATGAACACACACACACACACACACACACACACACAAGAGTCGCACAACAAGAAAAGGTAGCCACACAAACGCAGACACGCACCTACAAATTCTGTTTTTCCATCACACCACTGTACAACCACCACCACCACCACAACAACAACAACAGCAACAACAACAACAACAACAACAACAACAACAACAACCAACAACAACAAACAACAACAACAACAACAGTCTCCCTTCTTCCCAAAACCAGCACTTCTGCTTGACAGATGTACACGACGGAGCGGACGCCTCAACGGCGCTTCAGCTTGTCATAGATGTGCTGTTCTTCAATTCTGTCACGCCGATCACGTGTCGAGGATGGACCAGCGTCTTGCCCATCAGCCAGCCACTGTGCAGAGGCCATTGTCGATACATCCAGCGTGTCATACATGGCCAAGTCAGACAACTCAAGCACGTCATCGTCGTCATCGTCGGGATCACCATCGTCAGAGTCTTGGCCGCTGTTTGCGGTGACGGTCTCCGTGTCTGTGTCATCCCCATCGCCAGCAGCATCGCTGCCGCAACCGCCAACAACAAACCCATACACAGGATCATTGCCAGGACGCCATGCACTGCCGTCGTGGCTGTAATCGTCGTCACCGCCGCGCGGTTCAAAGTAGTCGCTGTCGGCTGCAACGTCAGTCTCGCGAGCTGTGCCATACACGCGACTGTACTCGTTACCCTCCGTTTGCGCACCTCCCTGGGCAAGCTGGTCCCTGCCCAAGTACACGTATTCGTCGTCCCCTTTCAAACCTGCGGCGTCTGGCACCTCCATGTAGTTGGCAACGGGGATGTTTGTGGGCGTTGCAAAAGCGTAGGCGTGCGCGTTTGAAGACGAGGTCGCCATTGCGTCGACCTCGACATACTCCCGGTCATCACTGCTTTCATCGCCACCTTCGCCAACACTTGCTACATCCCACATGTTCTCGGTGTGCTTGTCGTCAGCGCTGGTGGCAGCTGGCAGCCACGTGGCAGGCTCGTCCAAGTCTCCGTCAGCAGTTCCTGGCTCACCACGGTCGTCCATGTCTGCAAGATCCCCAAGTGATAACACCTCGTCATCATCCCCATCGGTATCGGCCTCCTCATGGCCAGATGACACCGTGCCTGGCACGTGTGAGCTGGGCGCCAGTGCATTCGCAGCACCAGGTGTGTGGTTATCAGCGGCGTCGTGGTCAAACATCGCCAGCTCATCAAACGTGAGCAACTCGTCATTGTCGTGCCCGCCGTTTGCCCATGCATTGCTATCCAAGCTTTCCTGGCTGCCACTGCCACTGCCACCGCTGCGGCTGCCACTGTGAATGCTAGTTACATCGCTGGCTCCGCTGCTGCTGATGCGGCTGCTGCACGCTGCGCTTCCGCTCGTTGTGCTCACAGTGCTGCTGGCAACGGGGATCCGTTCAAAACCACCGTTGCTGGCTGCCCCCAGCATGGCTTCAATGCCGGTATCCTCGCGTGCCCACGCGGACAAGCCAGGCAGGAAGTGCGCAGATGAGCGCATGGACGATCGTGTTCCTTGCTGAGCATCTCGGCCAGTCAGCAATCCCATCTTCACCAGACCGGTCCCCGCTGATGCACTTGCTGATCGTGACGCTGCCGGCGCAGTGGTGCCAGCCCTTCTCTGACGCTTCAGGGTGAACCACCCGTTTGCGCGCCTCTTGGAGGCGACTCGCAGGAACTCGCGCTGCGATAGTGCATCCGGCACCTGGTCGTCGCTTGTCGACGCCCCCGTCAGCCCAATGTCTACCATCCTCATGTCGTCCACGCTTGTTTCCTGCGTACCTGTGATTGTGTTGTCACGCTGGAGCCACAGCGCACCGGAGAGGGCACCAGCGTGCACACCGCTCGCTGCTGCTCCGCTGTACAAAGGGTTGGCCTTCATGCCAACATGCGGCAGGGGTCCCGAATGCTTGATGGGGACACCAACGGAAGTGCTGTTGTGAGACACGCAGCACACACACGCAGGGCAGCAAGCGCAACATGCGCAACAGCACCAGCTAGGGCAACACCCGCAGTAAGTAGCACAGCAGTCTCCACAGCAGCTCTGGCAACAGTCGCCACAGCACCCACAGCAGCAGCAACACAGCAGTGCAATGACAAGGGCGGCAATGACGGCAGCCACCAGCGGCAGCACGAGCGACGTCTTGTTCCTGTCGCCAACAGCCTGATCAACCAACCGGCAGACGCGGTTGGACGTGGACGTCGGCCCCATCACCTCAATCTCATCCCCAACACACACAGCAACGGCCTCGCACACGCGGTCGGTCGTTGGTGTTGGGGCAGCTGCCTCATACTCAAGCTCACGCACGCATGATCGCACGTCCTGACAAACGCGGTTGCTTGTGGTCGTGTGCACAGCGCTGATAAACTGCACCTCCGTGCACACCGATAGCGGCAAGCATTGTCGGTCCGAAGTGCGGGTTACCGCAACGTGCTCGTATTCATCGACGGCGCACGTCGTGTACGGCAGGCACTGCGTGTCGCTGGTTACATTGCACGCCCGCCCAACGTACTCTGTTGTGACGTTGCACACGGTGCAAGGCAGGCACACGCGGTCGTCATGCGCCAAGCACGGCGAAGACTCAAACGTGCTGCCGTCAACGCACTGCGTGCATGCAGTGCACGTGGTGTCATCCGTCTCGCTGCATGCTGCTGAGGCGTACGTGTCTCCGCTGCACGTGCTGCACATGGCGCAGGTGGCATCCGCAGACGCCGTGCAGGGGGTCATCTCGTAGTGTGTGCCCCCAGGGCAAGCCGTGCACGACTCACACACCCTACATGGGAAGAATGCAGTGGATGAGGTGGAAGAAGGGTCAGAAACGCGACAGGAAGCGTTGTGTGTGTGTGGGTGTGTATGCGTGTGTGTGTGCGTGCATGTGTGTGAAATGGGGCATGGAAATATGGGGATCGAAAGTGAACAGACATTGGTGCGCACGAGGGTGATGGCAAGCATAGAGATTGGGGGGGGGGGAGCGCCAAAACCAATCATACCATCAACATCAGCAACAACCCAAAGGGACATGGTTCAAATCAATCAAACAAACAAACACACACGCTCTGACATGCCATGACAAGCACCTGTTTGTTGTGGTTGTGGGAGCAACGGCCTCGAATTGAGTGGCAGTGCACACTGTCAGGTTGGCGCACACGCGGTCCGACACCCTGTCATCATACATTCCGTATTCCACGACAAGGGTGAGAAGGGGTGTGTTTGCGTGTGTGGTTGTGTTTGGGTACATGAATGCATATGCATGTGTGTGCGCTTGTGCGGGTTGCAAACGCTGATGACGCAGGGCAAGATGCAACAGACTTCGAGTGAAGGAACAAAATCCATGTCACGTTTTATGTGTGCCCAACTTACGATGTGGGTGCGGTGACTTGGAACTGGGCTGCTGTGCAGTTTGTCCAGTAGATGCATTCACGGTCCGTTGAAGGCGTGGGTGCGCGTGCCTCGTACTGCTGCGCGCGGCACGTCGTGAGCTGCGTGCACTCGCGGTCGCTGGTGGCCGTCGGCGCAGCACTCTGTGCACAAAGAAAGAGAAACGTAACCAAGGTGAGTGAGGGCATGTGGTACCATGAATGCAAACAACAAGCACAATGGCAATTCACCACAGGCACTTCGAAACACACACACACAAACACACAAACACACACACACACACACACACACACACACACACACACGCACACGCACACACACGCACCTCGAATTCGTCCATGCTGCACGCGGCGCGAACGGTGGCGCATTGGCGGTCCGTGGTGGCGGTGGGGGCACGAGTCTGGTACTCGTTGGCCTCGCACACCGTCAGGTTGCGGCACTGGCGATCGGACATGGCTGTGGGAGCAACCGTCTGGTACTGGGTGGCTGTGCACTGCGTCACGTTGGCGCAGACGGTGTCGCTGGTGGGCGTGTGCGGTTGGGCAACGTACTGCGTGCCTGATGCACACGTCGATGCTGTCATGCAGTCGTCCTGACCAGCGTCCTCCTTGAAGGTGCCCGCAGCACACACGGTGCACACGCGGTCGCTGGAGAGCGTGGGCTGCACAGACTCCTCTTCACCGGCGGGGCAGTCCGACACGGCAACACACGCCGTGAGACCAGATGTCGGTGCAAACGAGACACCGCTACTGCAAGGCGTGCATGGCGTGCTGGGCAGCTGGTCGGCGTCGACAGTGCCCGGTGCACAGCGGTATGCGCTGCAGTCGCCGGTGCGGCCCTCGGGCACAAACGTGCCGGCTGGGCACTGCACACATGGTGTTGCGCCGTTGGCGTCGTCGTCCGTGGTGCCGGCTGTACAGTTTTGACACTGGCGGTTGCTGGTCGCTGTTGGCGCCACGGCCTCCTCCTCGCCCACGTCGCACTGCGCAATGGCGCAGCACTGCCGGTTGGAGGTTTCCGTGGGAGCCACACATTCGTACTGCCCAACGACACACGTTGTCAGCGTAGCACACTCGCGGTCGGAGGTGTCAGTGGGAGCAACTGTCTCATACTGGCTCGCGGTGCACGTGGTCAGCGGTGCACACTGTGTGTTTGTCGACACGCGGCACTCCTGTGTCTGGTACTGGTCGGCACCGCACTCTGCACATTCCGTGCACTCAGTCTGAGACACGGACGTGCACGGCGACGACACGAAGAAGCCCGGGTTGCACGTGTCGCAGTTCTCGCACACGGTGTTGGCGGTCTCCGTGCAAGCGGTGGCCTGTGTCAGGCCCTCATCCTCACATGAGTCGCACAACTCACACACGCGGTCACTCGTTGCTGTTGGCGCACGCTCCTCCCATTCGCCGGTACCACAGTCTGTGAGCGGGCCGCACTCGCGGTTGGTCGACGTGGTAGGCGCCTTTGTCTGGTACTGCGTGTCGGTGTCGCACGTGGCGTGGGCCGTGCAAGTGGCCTGGCCCGTGGTGGACTTGAAGGTGCCGGTAGGGCACGCCTCACACTGGCGATCACTCGCCGGTGTCGGCGCAACAGACTCCTGCACAAAGGGCATGGTGAATGTGGCGATAGGTGCGTGGGAAACGAGGGAGAAGCATGCGTGAGCAACAAAAGGGACTTGGAATACGTGAAGCTGGCAGCTGGAGGAGTTGTCAATGCCTTCGTGACGAGGGGTAGGCTGGCATGCAGGATTTGTGCCTCGCGCTCCGGCCCCCACCTACAAGTTCACACACACAAACACACACACACTACACACACACACACACTACGCACACACACACACACACACACACACACACACACCTGGAAGCCTGGGGCGCAGTTCTGGGTGGCGATGCAAGACGTGGCCTGGCCAGCAGCGGCCTTGAAGGTGCCGGGACCACACGTGGTGCACACGCGGTTGGAGGAGAGGGTGGGCGCAAGCGTCTGCTCCTCCCCAGCCAAGCAGGTGCGCACCGCTGCACAGGTGGTGTTCTGGCCCGGCTGTGCCTTGTACGTGACGCCGAGCTGGCATGGCCTGCACTCGCGGTCGCTCACGGCGGTTGGCGCATCCTGCTCCTCCTCGCCAGCCACACACGTGGTCACCTGCAAGCATGAGGCCTGGCCCGCGGCGGGCTGGAACGACGAAGTGCCATCGCACGCCTCGCATGGGGTACTGGCACTGCTGTCCGTGTCGGCGGTGCCAGCAGGGCACATGTACAGCGAGCAAGGGCCGATGGAGCCTGCGCTTGAAAAGTGGCCCGCCGGGCACGCAACGCACGCCGTCTCGCTGTCACTGTCATGGTCTGTCGTGCCTGCGGGGCAGCTGGCGCACACGCGGTTCGACGTCGGCGTGGGCTGCGTGGCGACAAACTCGCCCGCAACGCACGTCGCCAGGCCCTCGCACTCGCGATCAGACGTCTGTGTCGGTGCCTGGGTCTCATACTGCGTCTCAGCGTCGCACGACGACAGCGGCGTGCACACGCGGTTGCTCGTTGCTGTTGGCACCTGCGATTCAAACTGCGTCTCAAAGTCGCATGTGGTGAGCGGGGCGCAGGCGCGGTTGGACGTGGCCGTCGGAGCCTGCGTCTCGTACTCCTGCCCAGCGGTGCACTCGCGCACGGCGCTGCACACGCGGTTGGTTGTGGCCGTGGGCGGCGTCACCTCGTACTCCGTGTCTAAATGACAAACAGACAACGGCAGACACACTCTGTTCGAAGTGGGCGTCATGGGTGTTTTCTCAAACTCGTGAGAGGAACATGGGTCTGAGACAATGCAAGTCGTCTGATTGAAGAGCGGCTGAAACGTGTTGCTGCCGCAGTCGGCACAAATCCGATCGCTTGTGGCCGTGGCTGGTTGTGACACATAGGTGCCAGGCTCACATGAGCTCAGGGGAGAACACTGGCGG